TCAAGCTACAGGATTAGATTGTGTCTTGAGTCAATCTCTTTTGAGATATGAAAGGGAGAAGTCAGCAGAGAGGAGAAGAACTTCATGCCACCAAGAGAGAAGCATCCGGAGGGGAACCTGTCCTTTGGGCTCGAGAGCCCTGTGGTGAGAAGCTCCTAGACCAGGGGAAGACTGATGACAAGGACCTTTCCCCAGAACCAACAGAGAGAAAAAGCCTTCCCCAGGAGTTGGTACCCTGAATTTGGACTTCTCGCCTCCTAGAATGTGAGAGAATAAATTTGTGTTTGTTAAGCCATCCACTTGTGTTATTTCTGTTATAGCAACACTAGATAACTAAGTCACCACCCAAACACATGTTGTAAGGGCAGAATTTTGGAGACACTGAAATGGTTCTTGTTGGGGCGGGCACACCTGAAGCCACAAGAACTGTGACAGGAGAAAATGTAAGAGGTTAAAGTTCCAAGAGAGTCATCCTATGAGGACATATGGAACTATTGCTTTTTCAAGAAGTCCTCTCATTGAGAACCACGTTTTAGGCTGATTGATATTGGATTCCACCTTGGATAATCCATGAGAGACAATAGTTAAAAAACTTGACCATCTCACTACTGGTGTGTAATGAAGCATAGCCGAGACCCTTGTCTTCTGGCAGCCTCTGCTGATAGAGATAGCCACTGCCCCCTCTCGAAAGGAAAGTAACACATGTACAGATAATGCCTTCCTCCAAACATGACCAGTCTTTACATATATCCTTTAACCCCTGGCCATTAGCTCCTGTTGAACTTGATTAGTCATACCTGAGTGCTGGCCAACCACAGTAGATGAAGGCCTTTGAGGATCAAGATTCCATGGAGATGGAGGAGGCAGGCACACAGACACATTCCTCTGCTGCAACTTCTGAATCTGTAACTCCTCCTCTGCCTCAAACTCCATGAACCTGACAAAGGTGAGGGAGGCAAAGCCCATGCTGAGAAGAAGGCAAGGTGCACTAGTAGCCCCAGAACCAAGCAACTGCCGATTGTGGGGCAGCAGAGAAAGATGTGCCTTCAAGGACCTGTCAACGTGCCGAGGAAGTCCATTTCCCAGGAGGGAGTTGCTTTCTGTGGCACAAACAAAGTTTGAATGCCCCTTATGTGTTCACCACTTCATTCTTCCACCTACCTACCCCACAACTCATCATAACTTAAGAAGGTTGTGAAGGAAATTAGCCATGCCTTGTTGGAAGATCCTCCTGACAGAGACCTAGTGCTCACTTCTTTTCCACACCTTTAGCACCTGATAGCACACCACAACACTGACACTAGCTTGTTGATTTCAGCCAGACCTGTGCGAAACACAGCAGGACCCCACTCATGGACAGCCTACTCCAAGCCTCTCCTGCCCTTGCCTAAAACATACACAGTAGTGCTGACAGCCTGACCCTGGGATGGGATGAATTTGGTTACAGATGACACCAGAAACTATTCCTAGATCGCTGGTCTTAGTCTCAGGCTTTGAGCCCTTGAGCTATAAACGAGGGAGACAAGTGGGCCAGGATATATAGGGAAAAAGGTGGAGTCTAAGATTTCAGGAAAGTTTCAGACTCCTCTGATGGTTTTTTTTTTAACCGAGGGAGAAAAGGCAATGAGGGTCAGAGATGTGTCCACAGCGTGACTTGAGATGGTGCCTTCCCCTACACAAAGCTTTCCAGCCTACACCATTCTTGGATGGTGGTAGAACAATTTTGTGCCAGTTGCCATGAGGAGGGGTGGTCCCCAATTCGCTGTCAGCTTCCCGGCCACTTAGGGAAGCAGGAAGCCGGCTGGTACAACATACCCCCACACTGCAGAGTGTCTACAGCATGGAATTTATCTCCACTGATAGCCACAGTGTTTATCCCCATTCCATCTTAACACTCTCCATATCAAAGTATCCACAAATCAAAAATGTAGAAGGAGTGAATTTATTCAAGAAGATAGAAAAGAAAACTGTAAGCAGTGAATGTGGTGGTAGAAATTCTCTGAGAGTAGAGAGGGATCATTAGGGAACCCGAAGCCCTGTCCAAATGCACACCTCCTCCTCACAACATCCCCTACAATTTGTACCAACACAACCAGGCAGCAGCCACTCTCATCCCACCCTCTTCATTCACAGCTCATCACTCAATCCCAACAGGGCCGGGATGCCACGAACTCACTTTCCTGCCATCTCGTAGAAGATCATCCGGTCAAAGTTACTTTTGCGCTCCCATTCCTGCACGGATCTCCACAGTCCCGCCTCCAGAGTCATGGTGGGCTTCAGTCGGGCCAGGGATCGGAGGACTGGGCTAAAACCCCATGCCTGTCAGTTACTTTCTAAGAGTACATATTCCATCCCCATCTTGACCCAACCCCTAGACATCCCCTTCCCATCATCACATCTATCTTGCTATTTGTCTGTGTTAAATCCCCCTTGCCAGTGTTTTAGATTTCAAGTTCTTTTTCCTACAGGATACCACTCTCAGAGCATGAGATCTACACTAAAATGCACTCCTGGGAGGGACAGTCTAAAGTAAAGGATGTACTTTGAATCCTCAGTAGGATTGTGGACAGAATGACCTGCCAGACCACCTTAAAATGTAGACTCTAAGTTTAAGTCC